TTCTCCGGACTAAATAAGGCCTTCCTACAACTCCTTAACAGGAATTAATCTGTTACTTCCCTGTCTTTTCAAAGTACTTTTTTTTTAACCCCATTATAGTTCTTGGTGGAGTAGGTCTTACTGGGTAAGCCCCTGGATTAAAAGAAACCCTCATTTAGATATATTTGTATCCTCCAGGAATGCTTACATGTAAGAAATGTGCAATAACTGCTTATTAAATTGCATTGCAAATTAAGACTCTGATTTTTAGAAACACTTTTGCAAAGAGAAATATATTGTAATCATCTTGATAGATAAATGTTTCAGCAACACTAAACAGAAATGTGTACATACATACTTGAAGAAGTGAATGAATAAACAACAATCACTTACTCATTGCCTGTAAAGTAAAAAAAAAAGTTATTACTATACATAAATGTATTTATTTATTTATGATCTATTGTAGAAAAAAGCGGGGGGTAATATTGTCTAGATCAGAACTGTTAACCTTAGCACTATTAACGTGTGCTGAATAATTCTTTGTTTTTGGTAGCTGTGTTGTGCATTGAAGGACATTTAGTAGGAGATGCCTGTAACATCCTCCAAAAAAGGTAATTGAAGTGTATTTGCATCCCAAAGATCTGCAGGGGCAATATTGTCTCTCGTTGAGAGCCACTGTTCTAGGTAAAGAAGCCATTGATCAATCCTCACTCTCAAATTTGAGCTTTTTACTACAAAAACTTTCCCTCGAGCTTATCAAATGACTAAAAGGGCCAATTAAGCAGGTTTCTCTAAGGAAAATCACAAAGGAAAAAGAAATAGAGAATTATCTTTATCTCTAATCAATGAGATTATAAGGAAGAAAAATAAAGAGAATTAGGAAATTGCAATATAATTCCCAAAGTGAACTCTCTGAGTTTTGGACCAAAGTAAGGAGAATTGTGAGGTGGTTTGGGAGATTTTATAAGGAGAGAGGGCTTTTCCCATCTAAATGTTTGGGACTTTGGAAAACAATGGGCTTGCAAGCTGTCCATCACAATTATTGTGTGGCTGCATTAAACTAAGATTGCAGTTGGAGAGTGAAGAGACAGTAGGAAGGCCAGAGTTTAGCTTTCTAAAGTCTCTTTTGATTCTTGCTTGTAGTTTATGGGAAGTTGAATGCCCTTCAGAGGGCATGTAGAGATTATGTAGGTAATGATTCAATGGGCATATTAAGGAATCTGTCAAGGTAAGAAGGAGTAGCCTGAACCAACTGCCAGTCAACTGTTGATTCCCTAAAAAAAAAAAAAAAAACAGGGAAACAAAACAAAAACAAATGCAAACAAATAAAACTTGATCAAGCATGCCTAAGATTTTAGACTTACTGTGGTAAAGAGAAAATATCAATTTGACAGAGTCTTTTTACTATCTAAAAAATAAAAAATTCATGGGAAAATATTTTATTTGGACTTAGGAGGATACATGTTATGACATAATTGTTTTGAATTGGTAAATAAAGTGAACATGCTGAGGTAAGAATCTTGAAGCAAATCCTAATGAACAAACTGTTCTTAAATAAACTATTTGAGGTGGTTCACAGTGTTATTCAGTAGCAATTATTTCCTGGAGAAAGTAATTAAGCTTCTTTTACTTATTCTCAATATTGTGTTAAATATGGACAGGTAAATTATGTTCATTTCAATTATCATGCCAAATGGAGGACAAGAAAAGAAGCATATGTGTTTTCAGTGAGAATCAAGAAAGGGATACATCATTTAGAAAAGAAGTTAAAACATTCCTAATGTAAGGGAGACAAGGACTTGAAGTAAACCATCTTAGTGTGGGGTGATGTTGCTGATAATACTGTGTGGATTTCAGTATCTATTTCTCCTCAATCCACATATGATTTTTTAAGACGTGCTATCCCAATTGCCAAACAACATTTTGGGCGAAGAGTGACAAGGGAGGGCTTAGAGAGAAAAATCTGAGGATTTTACCTAAAGAACTATTTGAATGATTGTACCACAGGAAGCATACAAGATTTGGGCAGCATTTTGTTCTTCTCCACTGCTATACATAGACTCCATCCAAACAACTTTAAAAACAAAAAAACACATATTTTCTTTATTTCTCTGTGTACAATCTGTTTTAATTTGTGAAGTCTTACAGTAAATAGCTTAATTTGGAGGAACAAATTTTCATGTGATCTATAAGGAGTGATGAAGCAACATACAGATGCCTCGAAGCTATTCCAAATTTAAAATCAGAGGGAAAATAATATGCTAGAGAAAGGAAAATCTAAGCAAGTTATGAAGATAAAAACCAATTGGCAGTTTTAATACTTAGGTCTTATCCAGAAAATGGAAGCTATGTTGGAGATCTCATCTGGAAAGACTTAAAACAGGGAATTGATTACAAATTCACTCAAAATCAGGACAGCAAAACAGTGATGGCTGGGAGAGAAAAAGGGAAAAGATTTGTTATCCAAAAACCAGGAGCTACTTCCACTTGTGATCTTAGGTCTGTAAGCTTGAATGGTTTACTTCTCTGCTGAATGTAGGGCTGTTCGTAGTGCTGCTGTGCTGCTCTCACATGGTGAAAAGAGGCAAATGGTCTATCTTGAGCATCTTCATAAGGACATTATTCCCAATTATGCATTCTGTCCTTGTGACTTAATCATCTCCCAAGGGCTCTACCTCCTAATAGCATCACCTAGGACTTTAAATTTTTAGAAAATGAATTTTGGGGGAACACAAACATTTAGACCCTAGCATCCATGTTATGAATGGTTTAATGGTGAGAAATCAATCATATATGTATTCCATGTATTCGTGATAAAATGTAGTTGATGTTATCTGTGTACTGTATATGTTTCTATACTAGTAAAACAAAAATAATGAAAAGTTTTTAAAATATATTTTTTACCTATATCCAGTAGAAACAGCAAAAGTCTATGAGATTATAACATATTCAAGTTAGTGGTCATTTAAAATTTATAGTAATGTTTTAACTCAAAATAATTTTAGCCTTTGTAACTATGTATTTAGACATACGTAATTGATATCCAGTAATCAAATTTTAAATGATTTTGCTATCCTTAGAAGTAACATTATTTTGGAGAGAGATCCAAGATGGCCGATTAGGAACAGCTCAGGATTGCAGCTCCCAGTGAAAGCGCAGAGTGTGAGTGGACACCGCATTTCCAGATGGATTTTTATTGCCCACAGACCAGGAGATTCCCAGGTGGAACAGCCCCACGGGTCGCCAGCGTGACTCTTTTGGCCGGTGCGGCTGTTTTGCCAGCGCCCTGGTGCAGCGGTTCTCAATACAGAATACATGGGACTGGGTGCCCTTAGAGCTGGCGAGTGGAGTTCTGGGAGGGCAGAGTCGCCTGTTCAGCTGATTGACAAGGGGACTGAGGTGGCGAGCTGGGCTGGTGATTCCCGGGCAAAAGGGTCCTGTCAATCTCAGCACCACTGTTTCAGCGGGTGCAGTGGGTTGCTGCACAGGAAATTACACGGCAGCTCTGAATGAACAACAGAGCCCACAGCTCAGCACTTGAGCTCCTATAAAGGACAGACTGTCTCCTCAAGGAGCTCCCTGACCTCTGTATATCCAAAGAGTCACCTCATAAAGGAGAGATCAGACCGACATCTGGCGGGTATCCTTCTGGGACAAAGATAGCAGAAGAAGAAACTGGTAACAACCCTTACTGTTCTGCAGCTGCTGCAGGTGGTCCCTAGGCAAGCAGGGTCTGGAGTGGACCTCAGCAGTCCTACAGCAGAGGGGCCAGACTGTTAGAAGGAAAACTAAGAAACAGAAATAACTTCATGATCAACAAACTGTACGTCCACTCAGAGACCCAATCAGAAAATCAGCAACTACAAAGATGACAGGTGGATAAATCCACAAAGATGGGAAGAAACCAGCGCAAAAAAGGCTGAAGACACCCGAAACCAGAATGCCTCTCCTCCTACAAGGGATCACAACTCCTCATCAACAAGGGAACAAGGTCTGATGGAGAATAAGTGTGATGAATTGACAGAATCAGGCTTCAGAAGGTGGCTAATATGAAACTTCTGTGAGCTACAAGAACATGTTCTAACCCAATGCAAAGAAACTGGGAACCTTGAAAAAAGATGTGACGAAATGCTAACGAGAATAGACAACTTAGAGAGGAATATAAATGAATTGATGGAGCTGTAAAACACAACATGAGAACTACACGAACCATGTCCAGGTTTTAATAGTTGAATTGACCAAACAGAAGAAAGGATATTAGAAGTCGAAGATCAACTCAATGAAATAAAACGAGAAGGCAAGATCGGAGAAAAAAGAATGAAAAGGAATGAACAAAGTCTCCAAGAAATATGGGACTACGTGAAAAGACCTAATCTACGTTTGATAGGTGTACTGAATGTGACAAAGAGAATGAATCCAAGCTGGAAAATATTCTTCAGGATATTATCCAGGAAAACTTCCCCAACCTAGCAACACAGGCCAATATTCAAGTCCAGGAAATACAGAGAACACCACAAAGATATTCCTCAAGAAGACCAACCCCAAGGCACATAATCATCAGATTCACCAGGGTTGAAATGAAGGAGAAAGTGCTAAGGGCAGCTAGAGAGAAAGGTCAGGTTACCCACAAAGGGAAGCCCATCAGACTCACAGCAGATCTCTCAGCAGAAACCCTACAAGCCAGAAGAGAGTGGGGGCCAATACTCAACATCCTTAAAAAAAAGAACTTTCAACCCAGAATTTCCTATCCAGCCAAACTAAGCTTCATTAGTGAAGGAAAAATAAAATCCTTTGTGAACAAGCAAGTACTCAGAGATTTCATCACCACCAGGCCTGCTTTACAGGAGCTCCTGAAAGAAGTACTACACATAGAAAGGAACAACCAGTACCATCAACTCTAAAAACATACCAAAAGGTAAAGAGCATCAACATAATGAAGAATCTCCATCAACTAATGGGCAAAACAGCCAGCTAGCTTTAAATGGCAGTATCATATTCACACATAACAATATTAACCCTAAATGTAAATGGACTAAATGCCCCAATCATAAGACACACACTGGCAAATTGGATTAAAAAGTGGCCCCATTCTTAAAAGGCTTCCAGCTTAGTTGGGGAGATAGCAAATATGGTCAGGTAATTTTT